CAAACAAAGGAAATTATATTTATAAAACCCACTAAAAGGAAAGTAATATTGTCTGCACCATAAGCAGGAAGTCAGGAGGCAGAAACTTAGAATTACAAAGATACAATTATAAGCCCCAGAAAAACACCATAGTATTACAAGAATACTCATGTTACATATGCAGTAAATAAAAGTGAAAGCACAAAGTATGGACTTAATGAGTACACCAACCCCCACTTATGGAAACTGTAATGAATTGGACTCCAATAGCAACTCCCACATGACCTGGATTTACTAAACAAGCAAGATATATTGCAACTATATGGAACTGAACTTATGCAAATGTTCAGTCATTACTATGTTGTTAAAACTTGCCTTTAAAGGACCTTAGAGAGAGTCAGACTTTTCTTGCTACACCTCCCTTAGGCAATGAAGGAATTTGTAATGTGTGTCAGTCAGATTTTTGAAATCTTGCTCATTTGAATTCCAATCTTTGCCAGTATTTTAAATGCATTGAAACTAGTAACATTTCTAAATCCACTCATCTTCCTACAAACATTCTTCCAGAAGTCTTAGATATTTCTTCCCTTGCAACTTTTTATGGATAACTCTCTGTCTAAAAAAACTGACAAAAAAGTATTAATATTAACTATTCAAAACCACCAAGAGAACATTCAGCAGAAGCATCCATATTTTAAAATTAATCTGGAAGTGAAAAAATGAAAACAAGTCATTACTACTATTAAGTTAATAGCATTAGTATGGTCAAAATGAATATGATGAAAATGAAGTACAGTGGAAGTGACTGACCTATTGTCACACAGGGAATGTCTGCACTGACATTCAGAGTTGACTTTGTTTTCACACCAGTCAAAGCTGCATGAGTTGTTTTTCTCTATCCATATCAGTCTACTTCGGAGGCATCCTCATTGTGAGGCTTGTGTGTCGGATGGCCCAGTTCTACTTATTAGTCCTTCTGAGTCATCCCTAATCACAGGTGGTAGAGACAAGTAAGATTCTCAGCAGCTGGGAATTGTAGGATTGCTGAGGGAAGATTTTTCTGTGCTTAATGTCTTCATGGTCAATAGCAAATATGCTATAGAAAGCTGAGGGCTAGGAAATATGTAGACCCTGAAACTAAGCAGAACTTCTTGGGTGGGGTGATTGCTGCTTGGCATTAAGCCTGGGGGTTTACAAGGTCATTAAGCATAGGTTTTAGGGTGACCGGAAGATCAATCCTAGATATCAGGGTAAACATAAAAACAGCAAGTCAGTATTAGAAGCAGTTAGGACTTTGGTCTCTTTTCAGTCCAATTCACCATATAACTGTGTGTTCATTGTTGTGGTTCAGGCAATGAAACATAGACATATAAAGAACATTAAAGGCTAGATGTTGCATTTGATACATGCTTTCATTGTTTAGTTGAAGTCAATAGGAAAAGAAGAAAAAAATCCTTAGAAAAAAATTGTATTATATGGTTTCTGATAGTGTTCTCATTACAATGGTATTTATGGTAATATAGTAATTTGTCACTACAAGCCATAGAAATTCTAAAACTGAAAGTGTAATGAGCAGTGTTAAGAAAATAGAATAGTGAGTGGAGGGTGACTTTAAATAGCTTAACCAATACCTACCACAACATACATATGGTTGTGGAAGTAGATCCAACATCTCAGATTTCAGTGAGGGTCTCTAGTGTCATTCTCTTGAAGTGTAATTTTCTTTGTTTGCCACAGAAGCTGAATGTGTGAGGTCAAGCATTTAGTAACTAAATGTATAGACATTATTATGAACTTCAACACAGGTCTGGCTTTCCCAATCACATTACTAAAACAAACAAATGTATTAATGGATGAGAAAAAGAGGCAGTGATTTTTCTACATTTATTACTGGAAGGCAAGTATGCTTGATATGATTGGATAAGGCAATATAGGTGTAACGACTGCAAAGGCTTGCTTGGCTGCAAGCTGAATGGGTGACCTGTGCCAGAGAACTTTGCAAGAAAAGTGGTAAAAGGTTTGCAGAGGGTGCAATAGCTTTTCCAAATAGAGGATATGCTGTGCACAATGCATGCTTTTTGCTGGAGCATTTGAACTGTAACCAGAGTCTGCATTGCAAAGCCTAGACTCTGGTGGACTACTATGGAGCCATAAAAGCTGAGGGAGGGAAAAGCAGCTGGAGAGAGAAGCTGCAGGTGAGTTACACTATCATGGAGAGAGAGGCAGAGACACAGCCCCTCCTTCCCCCCAGGTAGAGAGAATGGGAGCTGAGGCTTGCTGGGGAGCAGACTTCAGGACAGAGGAGAACCTGAGTCATCCCAGGAGAAGCTGATTCCACACCCAGGGTTGTAGCTATGCAATCAGGTACACAGGTTCCCAGGGCAAGAGTGGGGACAATCGGACACAGGTACCCAGGGAAAGCATGGGGAGGGGTTAGTAAGCTCGCTGGGAGAAGCTGCCTGGTCAGGGACCTGCAGAGGCAAGTCCTCTGTTTGGGCTGGAAAGGCTTGTACTGCAGGGACAGAGGCCTGCAGAGGGAATCCCCTGTCTGCATGTGGAGGTGCTGGGGGAGAGAGACAGCCCAGAGAGGAAATGGGCTGTGAGAACCCCAAATCTGCATGGGTGTGGGAGGGGACACTTAACCCCTAGTGTTTGCAGGAGGTGTATTTTTCAGAAGGAAACTAAAGAAAAGAAGCCTATTACCTGTAGTAGCTGATTGGAGACTTGTTATTTTGCTGAGTTACCAAGAAAGAGCAGAGTCCATCTTCCCTGCAGCAGCAGAAGCCTTGCCTCTGCCTCCTAGTGGTGGATCATAGTTAAAGCTGTATTGCCATTTATTGTTATGGGAAGAGAAGTGTGACCAAAAGGAAATCAATCTGGGTTATGGGGGTGAAACTGTTTTAAAGTGTTATAACAAAGTGAATGTAACCATTGAGCAGACAAGGTTCCTTGGGTGACCAACACGGCTACAACCTAAACCCCTGTAACCATTGAGGTTGTTTGATGCAAGTGGGACCACCAGTGTGGTAGAGTTATTCATCTATTGTTGTAGTTGTAAATTCTATCAAATTGTTGGTTTTATTATTAACTATACATATATATTTCTTCCTTCTCTTGATTAATCATTTCTTTTCTGTGTATAGTTGTGTATAATAAAAAAAAAATGTTTATTGGACATAAAGTCAGTTCTTGGACAGTGAGGGTGAGGGACACACCTCTCCATGGTACACTTCAGTCAGCACACCTGCATGAAGGGGGTCCCAGGGCCACTGGCACCCCAAAGATCCAGAATATAGCATATCGCTTGGCCTAGCATGCTGGTGAGGGTCACTTAGGTAATTTTGGCAGCATGCTTACAGCAGTGTAAGCGTGACTAGCATTGTAGTTGAAAGATGTTCAGAAGATTGTCTAACTATATAATTGGACAAATAAAAGAGATTATTCTAATAAATCTTTGCCTGTAGTAAGTTTAGGAATTCAAGCCAGACATGATTATAACACCTGTTTATGTGGCCTGTGTTGTTAGGGCTGTCAGGCAGCTGTTTTCCACTGAAGGTTCAGAAACACAATTTTTAATGCTTTCAAGCTTATTGAAGGAAGGAGCAGGGAAGGTGTGTAGCTGTCTTTCCTAACTGGATTTCTTTTAGAGCCCCAGGGTCACAAATGCCTTAATACCATGAGCATTTCCAGAGTTTGAAGTAAACATCTTTTGAGTTGCTTCAAAACCTTAATAATGCAAGGTAATAGACATTGATCCAAATCCAAACGTGTGACAGTGTTTGAAAACTCTCTTGTTTTTTTGGTTTAGCTATGCTGCTGTTGTAGGAAACTGGGATCTCTGGAAATTGTAGTTCAGCAACATTTACAGTGTGGCATTACTTAAATGAATTTCAGCAGAAAATAAGAAAATCTGTTGCCCTTTTCCCTCTCCTCCCTGATGGTATTCTACATTTTTAAAATTTGACAGGTTCAGTCCACAGTACTCAATTTCCATACTGTAAATACATTATGATAATCTACTCCTTACTTCAGAAATTCTTAAATAATTTATCTCCTGAATATATTGTTCAGCACCTCTGGGGTAAGGTGCATTAAAATGCATCTTTAGAGAGCACATTTTCCTGTAAACAGTAGCACAAAGATAGAAGGATTATTATAAATGTCTATATAATGATAGCTTTTCTTAAAGATAAACTTCACATATTAATCATATTCAAAATATATAATACTTAAGAGTAGCTAAAAACAAAATCTCATTCACTTGTAAAGGTCTTTAATATGGACGTTCAATATAAAGGAAAACTTTGAAAAAAGAAGTATTTAGCATCAATTAAACAGAAATGTTAATAGTACTTTATTAACATTTCTAATAATACTTTACTGTAAACTGAGAATGGTTCTTTATAGGAACTTAGGGCACTTTTACATGTGCTTCATGGGTGTGGGGGGTAGCACTTTAATTTAGGCAGCACTGAGAGCCACTCTAATTAAAGTCTTACAGCATTTCATGTATCTGTGTCCCCATGCTTCAAAATGGCAGCACAGGTGCTTGAGTGAAGGCTTGTTCTATGAGCTTTTAGTTCAAGCACCCCTGCTGCCATTTTGAAGCACAGGGAGGCTGATGCATGAGATGCAAGAGGCTGCTGGAGCACAATAATTACCACACTCCAGCAGACTCAATTAATCGAGTCTGTTCTGACGTGCTGTAATTACAGCACATTGGACCAGCCTCTATGCTTATGTACAGGCACCCTCTATGTGCAAGCTAAATAAGGCCAGGCTAAGTTTGTCCTCAAATGTGAAATTTGTCATGAAAAATAAGAATATCACAGAAAGTGGTAATATGAGTCTACATGTGGCATATGTATTAGGGAACAGTAGACTGCAGGAGGTAATGAACATGATTCAGTTGTTAGTCTAGCTTTGCACCTCAAATTTATGGCATTACACAGATTTTATGCTGAAGAAAGATAGAAATTAAGCTCAGTGGTTGCCAGATGAGAGAGAACTGATGTGGTTTGCTACTCCTAAGATTTATACATCCTCTATTCTTTTCACCTAAATCATTTTGGTATCAAGTGTCTTCTGCCTTACTTTTAATATTTGCGTAAAAAAAAAAAAAGTGAAAAATGAAAAATTCTGATATTTCTATATTGCTTTGTATCCCAGACTGGGGGAAAAAACAGAACTATAAAAAATGTTACAAGGAACATAACAGTTTAGAAGAAAGTTGAATGAGAAGTAAATAGGTGTCCCTTTCAATTGAAACAACATTTTGTTCTCCTTAACCAAAAAATATATTAAAAATATCGAATCCCTTCAAGATTAAAATATATCTGCATTGTGCTATCCCTCCACAGTGACATAGTTGAGTGGCCTCTTGTCCCCATAATACCTTATGATCTTTGCTGTCTTGGGAGACTATGCTGAATGAAAAATCACTTTGCTGGAAAATTGCTGACCAGCTCTAGTAAGAATCCATTCTGCCTATCCAAATACCTGCTCCAGGTACACTACTGTCAGTTGGTGGAAGTAAGCAAGCTTCAGGATTTAAATAAGAACACTTATTTAAGCAAAACTCTACCTTGCTTTCTTTCTCCTCACAACTGGTACTGATATTATCAATCAGATTTTGCCTCTATTATTTCTGTATATAGGTTAGAAATTATGTGTATGCTTCACCTCTTGACAAGGAAATATTCCTGGGAACTACTTAAGCAATTTGTTACCCTGGGACTGAGCAAAAGTGACAGCCCCCACTCCCATTTAAAAACTTAATGTCTCTCCCTGTTATCTAGATATAAATCCAAAAAACAAATAAAATAAATTATCCTACAAATCAACTGAAAAGAGGGCAAGGTAATTCAGTATTAATCACTTCCTACTTTCTATGGATGGACCAGCAGTAGAGGATTACTACTAGTTC